TCTGGCTGAGGAGAACCCGCCCGGATAAGCGCAAATACCAGGTGGTTCTAGCTATTGATGACTCGAGAAGCATGTCGGAGGCACGGTGCGGGCATCTAGCGCTCGAAGCAATGGCCACGATTTGCCGAGCGATGGCGACGATCGAGGTTGGGGAGATCGGGGTCGTTGCTTTCGGCGAGCCGGGCAACGTGCGCATGCTGCATGAATTAGACCGGCCGTTTTCTCCTGAAGCAGCCGTGCAAGTCATCTCGCAATTCTCGTTCAAGCAGGACAACACGATTGCGGATGAGCCAATGGTGGAGCTGCTGCGGTTTCTGTCTGGGGCGCTGGATTCTGCTGCGATGAGATACTCTGCGAGTGCGGGCACGGGAGGAGGAGGACATCTGGAGCAGCTGGTGCTGATTGTGGCGGATGGGCGGTTCCATGAGAAGGTATGGTGTGGCATGTGGTGTGGCATGTGGTGTGGCATGTGGTGTGGCATGTGGTGTGGCATGTGGTGTGGCATGTGGTATGGCATGTGGTGTGGCATGTGGTGTGGCATGCGGTATGGCACGATGCACATGGCATGGCACATAACATGGCGCAACTCTGTCCCGCTCCATCCCCCTCCATCCCTTGCGTGGAACCATCTCCCACAACACCCACAACCTCATTGCTTCTCCAACACGCATTCCACTCCCTCCCTGCCTTGCCCAAACCCCCCTGTGCGTCCACCGCGCCAGGAGACCCTAAGGCGCACAGTGCGGCATGCCATGGGCAAGGGGCAGCTGCTGGCCTTCATTCTGCTGGACAGCCCTTCTGAATCCATCCTTGACATGCAGGTATGCGCACTCTCACAAAATCTCAATCACCTGCAGCCGCCCAAAACCCAAAACCTGCCCAAAACCCGACAACCAAGAATGCCCTACTTTTTTTCCCTTTTTTTTTTTTCACCGAGAAAGCCTGCATTGTCTGCTTCTCCCGTACACAATGAACTCTCAGTACTATCAACCCTTTTATCCCATGTCTTGGCCCCAACCAACAGCTGAAGTCTGCTCAGGTACCAACCGCTACAGCAACACACTCTCCCTCCGTTTCCTCAACCCTTCTATCCCCTGTCTTGGCCCCATTCCTCCCTGTCCTCTCTCGTACCTCTCCTGCAGTCCGTGTCATTCTCAGGCGGGGTCCCAGCCTTCTCTCAACCTACCTGAACTGACTTTGAGATTCATACAAGCCATATCCCGTTTCTCCCTGCCCTCTCCTGCACCCCTCCTGCAGTCCGTGTCATTCTCAGACGGGGTGCCAGCCTTCTCAAGCTACCTGGACTCCTTCCCCTTCCCCTACTACATCCTTCTGAGGGACATCCACGCGCTCCCTCGCACGCTGGCAGGCCTGCTTAGACAGGTATGGCATGGGGAATGCTGGCATGGGGCTGAAGAGGTGACTTTATCAGTGATAGGGATGGCATAGATTGATGTACTGTTTGGTTGGACACTGATCTCGAGATTCATACTTTGCCTCTCTATATGCTGTACCACCGGCTCCTTATCCCTGATTCCCATCCCTTTGTGTCTGTGTCGTCTCCCTCTCCCTAACTGCCCTCCCTGTGTGTCCGCTCCCTGTTTCTCTCTGTTGCAGTGGCTTGAGTTCGCTAGAAGCAGAGGGCAGTAAGCATCAGCTTTCGATGCAACATACAGTACAGTGCATCGACTCAATCCGCTGGCTGATTGGAACATATAACTTTGGAAGTTGACCTTAGTTTATTGTTCTGGTTCTCGGTGTGATGTGAACCGCTTAGTATACTTGCCGTTCTCATTCTTGGATTTGTCAGATCACCTGAATTCATATTGTGTACGTTGTCACATAGTGCTGACAGCAATGGTACCTGGTGAACAGCATACAGGTTAACCATTGGTACCTAGTACAACACACCACTCAGATACACATTCGTGAGCTGCTAGTGACAAAGACTCAAAGAAAAACATAAAATTGACTCCAAACAAACACACATAGAACACATTTCTCACGACTTGACATGGAAAATCAGGGGTAGGAAGACTGGCAAGTCAGCTGGTGGTGTCCCCGGATGCCTTGCCTTGCCAGCATTCCTGCACCAGATGCTCTAATTTGACCTATTTTAGCTACTCACATGGCTGAGAGGCCCACAAGCCCCTCACAACCATGCCTGCAGCAAGAAACCCCCGGCTGCAACAGCAACACCTTGCATGCGCGTGTTCACCGTGGAAACACCAAGCTGACGCCACTGGTATCCCCAAAGCAGTGATGAATCAAGCAGCAGCAAGTTCTGCCTGCATCAGGCTGGATTCGAATCCCCAAACCCTGTCAGCCATCGCCGTATCACATAGCAGCAACAGCAGCAGGCGGAGCAGGACGGCAGTTAAGCATTAAACAGCAGCAGCGGGCATTTTGGCCCCCATGAGCTGTCCGCCCCATGTCACACCTGCTGCGCTGCTGCCCGCCAGCACAGCATACCCGCTCACTGTGATGTTCACTCCGCCAT